CCAAGAGTGGATAATTATTTAATTATCCACTCTTGGTAATGCTGATACAGCTACAGGTATTAATACTATACAATAACAGCATCATTGTGAGATAGAAGGGAGAACTGGTTTAAACTGGTTTTTGAAACTGGTTTTTAAAACTGGTTATTGTTAGCAATACAGTAAAAAAGACACTTACTTATTGACTTATTGACCTGCAATGTTCCTGCCTCTACAGTCAAGTCACAGATTTTTTTATAGTTGACTAAATCCAGTGAAACTTGGAACATCCTGTTTAGGATTATATTGACACTTGGGCTACGTAAACAACCACATTTAACGTCTACAGTACACGGGATTGACAACATACAGTCATTGTTGACCTGTGTTAACAACAAAATAATAATAATAATAATAATAATAATAATAATAATAATAATAATAATAATAATAATAATAATAATAATAATACTAAATAACTATCATTATCTTACATTTAACGTGACAGTTGCCTCTGGCACATCACTAACATACTCAATTGAAACGTTTGATATTTCAAAATTTATAACTAATGACAAAAATAATTAATACATTAATAATGATTAATAAGAGATAGAGTCTATGTAACTTACTGCTACTGTCAGTAGTAATATTTTCAACAACATACTGGCTCTGCCCGGCTTCATTGTAGCTCTGTAGTCTTAATCCATACACCTCATTATTCATGACATAATTATTGATTTCTATGAAGTTAACTGAAGGCTCTACTGTTCCATTGTATATCATAGTCCCATTGCTAGAGGTAAGAGTAACTACAGTAGCATCAGAACTGATAAAGGAAATATTAAAACCAGAGCAGGTTGTAATCACTATGATGTCGGCTGGCTCAATCGGAGGGTCTGAAAGAGAGAGGGGAGAGGTATATATATCATATTACATAAGATACTTTGTGGTTTAATTACTATAGCTTATTTACATAATAACCCTCACAACAATAACTGATTTTATATTTTAATGCAAACAAAGAGGCATCATAAACCACTTACCAAGGACCGTTAAGTAGACTGTATGATAGCAGGAAAGACCGCCACAAAACATCATAAAATCAATCGAGTTCCCACTGTCATTAAGACTGGCATTGATAACAGTGTAGGTCAGGGTGTGGACATCGCCATGAGTTGATAGCCTCACAGAGTCCACTGAGACTGGACATCCATTAACAAACACCATAATAAGGCGACATCTCGATTTGGCAGTGAAGGTAGCGTTTTCTCCCGTTTGGACAGTCACATCTTCTGGAGCAAGAACGTTGTAGGCTAACGCTCCAGAATAATTGGTACATTTTGGTGCTTCATTTACACATTCTAGGACAGTGAGGCGGCATAGTCCTGTGAAAAGAGCCAAGCATAAGGCTACCACCGCAATGTAGCAGGTCTTAGTCATTCTGTTACGAGAACATGGCGAAAAGAATCAAAAGGCAAGGTCATAAGACTCAGGACATTACAGATTGGAAGTGTCTGGAGAAAGGAGTATTATGATAGAAGGGTGTGGACCCACTCCTTTAATACTGCTTATTATAGATATCTGCTGAACAGGGGAATTCCCTGGGACAGCACCTTGAAATTGGAACCTCTGAGATGATAAGAACATGCAAGGTAGACTATTTTTATTATGTATGATGCAAGAATGCATTGTGATTGTGAAGATCTTTTATCATCCAGGCTAGCTGCAGCAATTGACAGATCAACAATTAAAATTTTTCAAAGAAATATATAAAATCAATAGAGATCAAGATAATCAACACACACAAAAAAATACAGCATTGCTTCAGTTAACAGTATTATTATTATTTGATTTGTCTTCATTTGGTCTTCTACACAGGGAACGGGGACTTACGAGCTAAGTTGGTTCCAAGAACTTGAGCTGGAAGTAACTCGCATCATTCCAACCTGATCGTTCCGAGCCAGTTCAGTTAATGAACATCTTTTTACTGGGATTTGAATCTTGACAATCCATACATATGTCTAAGGTGGATCAGGATCATGTGGGATTTCATCAACTGGCTCAAGGTATGATGTTGCTGTAGTTGTTGTAGATGACAACTTCTGAATCAAATCAAAATAATTAGAAGCAAAGTCTGACAATATTAGTAAGATAATAGTAGCATATATATCAAATAACTGAGGGTGACAAATGTTACATGAGGATAACAAGCCATTGTAAATTGTAAGTATGGGCACTCTGACTACCCCTTAGACTACTTAAAGCATAAACACCAACTGAGAATAATAAGAAAATAATTAGCACGCACATTAGCATGTACTTTTTTAGAAGATTACCATGACAAATGAATGCTTGTTCCTTGTCTCTTTTACGAACACGGTGCTTGTAGTTGAGAGATTCAAACCAGACAAATGCACCAACAACTGTGGATTTTATAGTAGATCTATCATAGACCAATAATACATCATTCAAATCACTGAAAGGGATGCAATTTACTATACAAATAAGTAGACTTAGCTTGAGATACAGAAACTGCTGAGCTGCTTCACAATATTTTGATAAAAGGCCGTAATTAGCTTGCCTTTGAGAGCTGAATCCAGTGGCTGAATCTGTAGATCCTTTGTGACGTTTGAAAACTTTTTTAGGTCGATCGATTGCTTTTTTATTTTGACGTAAAATTTCTTTTGACTTAGTCTTGCGACTCATCATCAGAGCATTTTTTTGGCAATTTTCATAGGTTTTTTTCCTACGTTTGAAATTGATATGACTTACTCTTTCTTTTTCTTCTATATTTTTGTCCACAAAAAGACCTTCTGCAAAAGGACCAGTAGCTGTGTCATTGATGGCAGGACAAAGAGTACTTTTACCAGCTCCAGGATTACCAACAAGGAGGACATTAACATAAGAATCAATTTGAAGAGATATTTTAACTTCAAGGCCCCCAGAAAACATCTCATTATCATTACTATTAACTTCTCCCTCTTTCTTTACTTTCTTTGTTTCACATTTATCCCCAACAGCTATTGGTATAGCTTCAATATTGTCATCATCCAAAGCTGATGACTCATCGGGTCTGTATTTCCAAGCACAGCAAGTGACTACCAATATACTTCTCTGATGATTGTAGTCGTTTTGTTGTTGTATTCCATTGAATGACTCACCTTTACCTACATGTACATGTATAGGCGATTCAGCCAAGACATGATCCTTGAATGTGCTGGTATCAGTGGTACGAGTGCCAGTATAAGAGAAAGAAGCAGCACGTGGGGAAGAAGGAGGAGTGGACAAAGTACCAACAATACTTAAGAGACAGCGATCATCATCATCTTCTTCTACAACAACTGGTCCTTTATTTGGTAACTGAATAGGCTCCACAACTACAATAAAGATATTAAATACATTTAAAGTTAATATACAACATTTCCCTTACCAACTTCAGGGCATGAGTTATAGTCAGAGGTTGAAAATGGAGCTGCACCGGTATATTTTACTTCAACTCCTTCATAATTGGATGCAAATAATATCAAATATACTGTATAATACAACTAACCAAAATGAAGATGGATGTTATTATGAATTATTGGACAATTCACTGTTGGTCCACTTGGTGGTGAATAAACACTTGCAGATATACCTAAAGTGGAATCAGATATCTCTTCCTGAGGATGAGAACATTTATCAGGAACAACTATATCATCATAGGCAGGAGGAGGAGCTTCTTTGTTGTTATTAGTAGGAATGTGTCTATCATCCTGTAATAATAGAAAGAATAATATTAGGGACATACTCACAGGAATTGTTCTGGAATAATAGGGTTAAACATGGCTGCCACACCTATTATTCTTTTTTCTACTTTCAGAATTGGCTCACATTTTCTATGTATATAAGTACATCAATATGTATCATAAAAATTGGGGGTAATTTTGGAGCCAATTTTTAGAAAAGCCACGGGCTATGTATAGTACAGAGTATTTCTCTGAAATTTCAAGTTTTCAAAAACAATCATAACTCAAAAATTAAAGTTGGATTTGGCTCAAACTTTCTACATAGCATAAAAGAAAATGTAATAAAAATTTGGGGTGATTTTTGAGCCATTTTTGGAAAAACTATGGCCTATAGTACCAGGAATCTTCTAAAAATTTGGAGTTTGTTATCTTAGATTTTTAAAAGAAAAGATGCTTTAACAGGCATTTTTAATGTGAAAAATTATTTTTAAGAACAAATAATGCATTTGTGAGAAAAGAGTAAAATAATAGGAAAGAATTATGGGAGAAAACTTTTGGAAAATTCCACAAAGAATAACGAGTAATTTTTGGAAATAATAGGCTCAAGCGTAATTCAAAAGTGACAGTAAATTAACAATAAACATAGTAATATTATGTCATTATGATGTAATGTACATGTACAACTGACCTCATCATGAATGTCAATATTAATAGTGGGCGGGGTTGCTTTAGGTGGAATTGGAGGTGTGTATGTGGTTACTACACCTCTCTATTGCAAAATAAGATGCACCTGATAATGTGTACATGATTCTTATTAAACTACCTTATCAATATGTCCTGTAATTTCACCATACTCAGAACGTTGAGCAATAGCAGGTGGAACAGTAGTATCAGTCTTTTTACCAATAACAGCATAAGTAGGAGCAACAATAGCAGATGTAACAGTATATGAAGTGGCAGCATCATCCTCATGACCAGGTGGTAGTAATGGAGCAGTAGAATTATAAGTGGATGAGCTACATGTTGGTTGTCCCTAATGAAACAAATTACAATGGGGTTATGACTACATGTACTGACATGATGACAGTAAACAACATATTATTATCAGCATTATCATAGTGTGTGTACTTCAGCCAATATCCTCTTGGCTCT